TTTTTTTTGTGCTATGGGGTGTACATACACCCGAAACGAAACAAAGAAAATATAGCGGGGGGTGGGGGGGGTGAGACAATACACAGACAAATACAAATATATTAATAAATACAAAAACTAATAAATTCAATCAATACAATTAAAAGCAAACCCTAACTCATCTCGTATTTACACGTGCCTTGGGGGCCCCTTGACTGGGGGGCCCCTTGCCAGGGGGGCCCCCTGGTGGGGGGGCCCCCTACCAAGTGGGGCCCCTTATAGGGTGGCGGGAGGGTACTTGATTGGGGGGCCCCTGATGGGGGGGGGGCCCCCTGGATGGGGGCCCACCTGGATGGGGGCCCCCTTGGATGGGGGCCCCCCTGGATGGGGGACCCCCTGGTTGGGGGCCCCCCTCGACGGGGGCCCCCCTGGATGGGGGCCCCCCTGGCTGGGGGCCCCCCATTTGTTTCCCTTTGTGTTAAATTAAAAGGGTTCAGTTGGGGGCCCCTGGGGGCCCCCCTGTGACGGTGAGTACATCTCCTAGATGCCAGTCCTTGAAGGAGTCGACCAAAACCCCACATTCTGCTGGAGCGGAGACACTTTCTTTGGGGTCTTTCCCCACCCGCAAGGAGACAATGCGAGCGGCCTGCATGCATGCATGCATGCACGCATGCATGCGCATGCATGCGCATGCATGCAGCCCAAAATTTGGATATAGATGGTGAAAATCCTGCTGCTGTAACTGCTCTAGTTGCTGCTGCAGGTGTTGCTGTTGCTGCTGCTGCTGCTGCTGCTGCTGCTGCAGCCAACTGCACACCCTCAACCCATTACCCAAACCCTAAACCCTAAACCCTAAACCCTAAACCCTCACGTACTTCTTTGATGCAGCGGCCGTTTCTCTCGATTCTTATGGTGTCTCCTTTCCTCAGTTTTCCGCTCAGAACGTCACAGCCAGCAACAACTAAACCCTGCATGCATACATGCATGCATGCATACATGCATGCATGCATACATGCATACATGCATGCATGCATGCATGCATGCATGCATGTAGAAAACAAAGCCCCAAATATAAACCCTACACTCTATCTTATGTTGTTACAATAAACAAACCCCTTAATCCCTAAACCCTAAACATCTACAAAAGCAAAACCCTCAAATACACAGCTACACACAAACTCATACAAACCCCACACACACAAGGGTTTAGGGTTTAGGGTTTAGGGTTTAGGGTTTAGACCTACGTTTGAGAGGGGGAACAGCTGCTTTACAGATGCCTGGGCCCCACGAAGGCTCTGTACCCCCTCGGGGCCCCCGGGGCCCCCAGGGCCCCCGGGGCCCCCGGGGGCCCCCGGGGCCCCAAAGAGCTGCGGAGACAGCAGCCGCTGCTGCACTGCATGCAGAGCGTCATAGATGACGTTACATTCTACCAGCTGGACCCCCGCTGCTTCTGCTGCTTGCTGCAGTTCACATGCGTATACACCCCAATATATATGTATATATATATATATATATATATATATATATATATATATATATATATATATATATATATATATATAGGTGTGTGTGAGCTAAATATATTTATGATGAATATATTACAAAGAAATGCATTACTAACGAGTATCTTTATACTGAACCCATAAACCCTAAACCCTAAACCCTAAACCCTAAACCCTAAACCCTAGAATATATATATTAATATAATCAACTGTATACAAATCTTACTCTTGTTGTTTTAATTATTTTTGTTGCAAAGGCAACAAGCACCCCCGCATGTTTGTCTCCGTCTATACAACTCAAAACATCCTGGGGACTGCATTCTCCTGCTGCAGCTTTCATCACCTTTACCTGTCTCCTTTCTTTCGGCTGCATTGAGCTGTCTCCTTCACCAACACCTGAACACCTGTCTCCTCCTGGGGGGCCCCCTAGGGGCCCCCCCTGAGGAGGCCCCACTTGGGGGCCCCCTGGGGGCCCCCCTGGGGGGCCCCCGACCGGGGCCCCTGCGGGGGGCCCCGCTGCACAGGGAGCGTTGGAGAGGCTTAACTGCCAGGGGCCCCCAGGAGAGGTACGATAGGCAGCAAGACCATCAAGAGCAGCAGCAACTGCAGCAGCAGGGCCCTGGGCCCCCGCACGGATCGTTACAGGTAATATAGACTCCTGCAGCAGCAGCAGCAAGGATGCAGCGCATGCAGCAGCAGCAGCAGCAGCAGCAGCAGCAGCAGCAACTGCAGCAGCAGGGTTTTCCTGCGTTTCTTGCCCTGTATCTTTCGTGCTTGCTGCATGCACAGTGTGCCACTTCTTTGTCTCTGCTGCTGTTGCTGCAGCAGCAACAGCAGCAGCAGAAGTGCAGCAGCAGCAGCAGCAGCAGCAGCAGCAGCAACAGCTCACCTCCAGGGACTGGTCCTTTTGCAGTGCAGCCAGCACCCGCTCTCGAGAAGCTGCTGCTGCTGCTGCTGCACCTGATATGCTCAGATCCTTGAGGCGGCGCTGCAGCAGCAGCAGCAGCAGCAGCAGCAGCAACAGCAGCAACAGTCACAGCAGCAGCAAGAACACAACCATATATATATAACACTGAAGGAGAAATATATCACCGACCCAAACCGACTCAAGACACCCTCTGCTGCTGCTGCTGTTGTTCCTGCTGCTGTTGCTGCTGCTGCTGCTGTTGCTGCTACTGCTGCTGCTTTTATTTATATATATCCTTACCTCCCTCTCTCTCTTTGCCTCTGCCTCAGACGCCACCACCTTTATCTCCTCCCCCAAAGGGGGCAGAGCATCCGCAGCAAACCCAAAAACTTCTGCTGCTTGCGAGGCAGCAGCAGCACGAAGCGTGCCATCAGGGGGCCCCCCGGGGGCCCCCCTGGCGGCCCCCTTGGGGGCCCCCTGGGGGCCCCCTACGCGCCCAGGCAGTACCTCGGGCCACCGCAAGCTCCGCACACGGCATATTGTGGGGCCCCCCACCACCCAGTCTCCTACCCTGCAACACATGCTAAACCCTAAACCCTAAACCCTAAACCCTCAACCCCCAGATATATCTCTCAACTTGCTCTTCACTACCCAGGGGCCCCCTCTACTGCTACTACTTCTCTCGTGGGGGGCCCCCCTAGCCCTGGTGGGGCCCCGCTAACCCCTTTGGGGCCCCCATGTACCCCCGTTGGGGGCCCCCGCTGCACGTGGCTGTGTGTGTATTGCAGGGGCCCCCCCTGCAGAGTATTTGAAGGATGTGGGGGCCCCACCTGATGGTTCCTTCCTTTATTAAAACGATTGCACTGCCGCCTGCTGCTTTGCTGCAGCTTGTCTCCAGCACGAGGCCCCGTCCCTGTGTATAAGGAGAGGCCCTGAGGCCCATCTCCTCTGCCTGCAAGGCTATACATTCGAGCAGCTGCTGCATGCCGTAGGGGTCATCAGGGCCCCCTGGGGGCCCCTCTTGGGGGCCCCCTGGGCCCCCCACTGGGGGGCCCCCAAAACACTCCAGGTACCCTTTTGCATTCACAGCAACCACCTGCACGGGGCCCCCCAATGGCTCCGTTAGTAAACCCTCAGCAGCCAAGTCCGATAACACTCGCGCGCCTGAGGCCCCAGACAGAAAGTCCTTACCCTTTGGGGGGCCCCCTAGTGAAACCCCAGGGGGGCCCCCACCGTGGGGGACCCCCTTAGGGGGGCCCCCAACTAAATCTGTCTTTGTTATGACGACAACAATCGGCAGAGATAGATCCTTGCATGCCTAGAACCAGAAGATAAAAAAAAAAATAAAAAACACCAATACACCCCACCTAAACCCTAAACCCTAAACCCTAAACCCTAAACCTTAGGCCCCAAACCTTAACCCCTAAACCCTAAACCCTAAACCCTAAACCCTATATGGTTCAGACCTGAATACAGTGTCTAGTCTCTTGCTGCAGTCCTTCATTCGCAGCCACAACCAGCAGCACAACATCTGCTGCTTTTGCTGCTCTCAAACGCATGCAAGAGAAAGCCCCATGGCCAGGTGTATCTAAGAAGGTAACGCTGGGGACAGATGCAGACACCGACGCAGGTAGATACACCTGAAACAACCATACACCAACAGCAGCAGCAGCAGCAGCAGCAGCAGCAGCAGCAGTTGGAGCAGCAGCAGCAGCAGTTGGAGCAGCAGCAGCAGCAGTTGGAGCAGCAACAGCAGCAGCAGCAGTTGGAGCAGCAGAAGCAGCAGGAACACGAGTCGTAACAGCAGCAGCACAAGCTGCAACAACACCACCAGTTGCAGCAGCAGCAGCAGCAACACAAGCTGCGGCAGTAGAAGCAGCAGCAGCAGCAGTTGCAGCAGCAGCAGCAGCAGGAGAAACAGAAGTTGTGGTTTAGGGTTTACCTGAAAGCAGCCAATACGTTGGGTGATACCCCCTGCCTCCTTTTCTATATAGGGGGCCCCCCCGATGCATCTAGGGGCCCCCCTAGTACCCTGGCTGTTACCAGGGGGGCCCCCAGGGGCCCCAGGGGCCCCCTCTTGTTGTTTGCTTATAAGGCGGAGGGCCCCCAACAGGGTTGTCTTGCCGTGGTCTACGTGCCCTAGCACTGCTACGACAGCAGCGCGAGGCTGCAGCTCCTCTGCAGGTGGGGGGCCCCCCTTGGGGGCCCCAGTTTGACGGGGGGGGCCCCCCTTGGGGGCCCCACCTTGACGTGGGGGGCCCCCCTTGGGGGCCCCCTCTCGACGCTGCGGGGCCCCCTGAGTTGAAACATGTGCCCCTTTAGGGGCCCCCAAGGAGTCAGCATGAGAGGCCCTTGCAGCTGCAGCAGCAGCAGCAGGTGGTGTTTTACCCGTTGTTTCTGTGTTTGTTTCTGCTGCAGTTGCTGCTGTTGCTGTTGTTGCTGCTGTTGCTGCAGCAAAGTCATCCTGAGCTGTGGGGCCCCAGTGTTTGTCTGGGTCTGTTATGATACTGCTGCTGCTGCTGCTGCTGCTGCTGCTGCTGCTGTTGCTGCTGTCTAGGGGCCCCCCCATATCCCCTAAGAAGCCTAGCGAAGCCAAATCATCAGCATCTGTCTCCTCACTAAACAGAAATTCTCCTGTCTCCCTTTCTCTCTCTCTTGTACCCAATCGGCTGGGGGCCCCCCGACGGCTACGGGGGCCCCTACCTCCTCGTCCTTGGGAGCGCTGCTGCTGCTGCTGCTGCTGCTGCAGCCGCCGTCTACCAACCCCTTCAAGCCCCTCAAGTACAACAACCCCACCCTCATCTCCGGCAGAATCAAGGGGCCCCTGGTGGCTGTCGCTATCCAGGGGCCCCCTCAAAGGGTACTCTTCTTCAGCAGACGCAGCAGCGTCAAAAAACCCGTGGAGGGGCCCCCCGGGGGCCCCCCAGGGGCCCCCCCCAACCCCATCTGCAGTGGCTTTCTCACGCCGTCCTGTAGACACTTCTGGGGGGAAGACCCTAGACAGCTGGGGGCCCCCAGACGACTGGGGGCCCCTAGACAGCAGGGGGCCCCCAGGGGGCCCCTGGTCACTTTGGGTCAGATGCAGAGCTAGCTGCCATCGGTTGGAGGTGGCGGCTGTAGGCGCCTTGAGAAGCTCCACGGTGCGGGAGGCCCCCACAGGTAATATCTGTAAAACAGCAGCAGCAGCAGCAGCAGCAGCAGCAGCAGAAGGAGCAGCAGCAGCAGCATAGTTGAATGATCTATAAGCAAAAACACAGAAGGAAAGGGCACTGTTCAATACATCCTGTAGAGAAGCATAAAAAACAAGAAATAATAAACACAACAACAAACAACAATAACACTATCAAAAGCAGCAGCAGCAGCAGCAACAGCAGCAGCAGCAGCAGCAGCAGCAGCAGCAAGACACTAACTTACTGTTGTGAGGTCAAGGGCTCTCAGCTCCGCCGGAGAGAGAGGTTGCCCATTCCTCCTGAGGCCCGATATATGAAGAAACCCAAATATCTTGGGGGGCCCCCCGGGGGGCCCTGGGGGCCCCTGGGGGCCCCCTATATCAGAAGGCAGCAGCTGCAGCATGGCGTACCGACTCCAAACCCTAATGCATGCGCCAGGCACGGAGAGGCCCTCTCGCAGCTGCGGCCCCGAGCTTACAGGCCAGGGGGCCCCGGGGGCCCCTCTATGGGCCCCAGTGGGGGCCCCCCTTGGGGGGGCCCCCAGGGGGGCCCCCACCTCCCTAGGGGGTTCAAAATGGGGAGAATGGCCAGGCAAAGAATACCCGGAAATTGGAGGGGCCCCCCATGCACCTCTATGCTGCGGGGATAGATGCGTTGCTGCTGCTGCTGCTGCTGCTGATGATGATGATGATGTTGATGCTGCTGATGGCGTTGTTGCTGGTGTAGCCAGAGAACCTGGCGCTGCTGCTGCTGCTGCTGCTGCTGCTGCTTCTGCTGCTGGTGCTGTTAAAGGGGGCCTCATGCGGTCCAGAAAGGGTTCAGGCGGCCCTAAGGTACCTTGGGGGCCCCCCGCTTGATGATAGAAGGAAGAAGCAGGGGCCCCCCTGGTTGTATGTGAAGCAGTCTGTACCCTTCCAGAAGAAGGGGGCCCCTGTGCATGCAGCCCCGGCGCAACTGAAGCCTCTCTGTGGGGCCCCTGACGGGTGGGGGCCCCCTTCCTCTTCTGGGGCCCCGGGGGCCCCCCCGGGGCCCCGGGGGGCCCCTCATCGCCAGCCCTAGGCCAGGGGCCCGTGCTGACAGTCCCTCGAGGGGGCCCCTGAAAGGCATCCCTGTTGTTTTCTTGTCTCCACTTATAAAAAGGTGTTTGTCTCCTCTGCTCTGGGGTTGTGTACCCAGTCTCTATCGCCCTAGGGGCCCCCAACGGGGGCTTGGGGCCCCCCCCCGAGGCCCCAGATCTCTGCGCTGCCCCTTCTTCATTCTTATAGGCAAAGCAAGGGGGGGAGAGGGAGAGGCGGGGGCCCCCTGCAATGCATAACGGAGGGGGTACGGGGGGCTGCAGCGTTGCCTTGTGAAGGAACGATAGACAGGAGGCCCTTGGGGGCCCCCAGGGGGCCCCTGATGGGGGCCCCCTCAGCGAGCTAACAATACAGGGGGCCCCTAGAGGCGATATGAGCACGCAGAGACAAAGAAAGAAGGCCTGTACCCTCCGGGGGGCCCCCAGCATCCCAACAAAGACTGCCTGCGCGCGCTGCCTGTGGAAGCGGGGCCCCCTGGGGGCCCCTGGGGGCCCCTATAAAGGGCCCCCTTCAAGAAGGAGGTGTATGCTGCTCCGTAGGAGGGGGGGGGCCCCCTCAAGGGACAGACAAACCCCAGACAGGCTGTCGGCGCAGGTGGGTTTGGGGGCCCCTGCGGGGCCCTGAGCTTAAAAACAACTTAAAAAAAGAAGAGAAAAGGATCAAAAGAAAAGCAACAGATTCAAATGATGCATCTATAACAACCAAAGGGAAAAAAGGGGGGGCCCTTGTGAGGCCTCAAGGCCTCGGTAGGGGCCCCCCGGGGCCCCTGTGTACAAAAAAGAGAGAAATAAAAGCAAGCAAGGGGAACTGAGTTAGTTTGTATTGTTTACATTTATATAATTAATATTACTAAAAGATAAAAAGATATTTACGCGCTCTACACAGGGCCTGACACCGAGGCAGGGGCCCCCTATATACAATAGCAAGGGGGCCCCCGGGGGCCCCTGCTGCAGCGCAGGATACATGTATGTATGCTGGTGTTTGTGTTTGGTTTTTGTCTGTTTTTTTGGCTGTTAAGACAATTCATTCATTTGTTTGTTTCTCCTATATAGACACCCTCTGGCGCTGCACGTTGCTCAGCCTGCTGCTGCGTGCTGCTGCTGCTGCTGCTGCTGCTGCTGCTGCAGCTGCTGCTGCTGCTGCTGCTTGTCGTCGTCTGCTGCTGTTTTTATCTCCTATTCAGCAGCAAAAGTAAAAAGTAGAGACTCTTTCCTGCTGCATTTACGCCCTATATAGCTCCCCCTCTAAACCCTAAACCCTAAACCCTAAACCCTAGGCGGCGGCGCCCTCCTTAATGGCGATAGGGGCCCGTATACCCTGCAGGAGCCGACCTTTGGGAGCCCTGTGGGGCCCCCGGGCCCTATGTCTCGCTGGGGGGCCCCTGCAGCGGCCCTTTGGGGGGCCCCTAAGGCAGCAGCAGCCGCTGCTGCAGCAGCAGCAGCAGCAGCAGCAGCAGCGGCGGGGCCTTAGTACCTTAACTGCGGGGGCCCTCGTTGCAGTACCCTCTAGGGGCCTCCTCTCTATATCCGGGCCTGAAGCTGCTTCGTAAGCCCCCCTATCCCTTTTGTCTCCATTTGTCTCTTTTTGTCTCCTTTTGTCTCCTGCTGCATGGGGCCCCCCACCTCACTTGCTGCTGCAATGCTGGGGGGCCCCCCAGGGGCCCCCTATCTAAAGAGTGCTTATTCAGGGGGCCCCTAGGGGGCCCCCAAGAGGGATAGCCTTTGGGGTTTTTCCTGGGCCCCCTGCAGCAGCACTGACACGGAGCATGTCTTAGCTTGTTGTTGCTGTTTCTTTCTCTTCTTTCTAGGGTTTAGGGTTTAGGGTTTAGGGTTTATTTTCTCTCCTTGTATCCCCCTTTATGACTCTTTTATTTTATCTTTCTTTTCTTTTTTTGTCTCCTGCTGCAGGCTGTTACAAAACCTCATCTCTCAGGACCTCCGCTGCTTCGCCCCTGTGCTGGGGCCCCAGGCAGCAGCAGCCCTGGGGCCCCTGGGGCCCCCGGGGGCCCCGGGGCCCCTCACCCGCTTGCAGGTGAAGCCGAATACGAAGCAGCAGCAGCTTCCGGATAGCCAGACGGCCTTTCCGCTGCCCCCCAGAGCCTTTAACCTCTGCAGCAGCGACAGCAGCAGCGACAGCAGCAGCGACAGCAGCAGCAGCAGCAGCAGCAGCAGCAGCAGCAGAATTCAGCAGCTGCGGCTCTGGCGACGCCCTGCAGTTGCAACAGCATTTTTAAGTGCTAAGGGTAGAGTGCTTGCAGATGCATTACTTCTTTGGAGGTAAGCCCTGCTGCTGCTGCTGCTGCTGCTGNCTGCTGCTGCTGCTGCTGCTGTTGCTGCTGCTGTTGCTGCTGCTGTTGCTGCTGCTGCTGCTGTTGCTGCCTGTGCTTCTCCCCATTTGTCTCCTTTTGTCTCCTTTTTGTCTGTATTTGTCTCCTTTTTGTCTCCTTTTGTTTGCATTTGTCTCCTCTTGTCTCCTTTTTTCTGCATTTGTCTCCTCTTTTCTTTATATATCTCTATTTGTCTCCTTTTTGTCTCCTTTTGTCTGTATTTGTCTCCTCTTCTCTTCATTTATGTCTATTTGTCTCCTTTTGTCTCCTCTTCTCTTTATTTATCTCTGTCTGTCTCCTTTTTGTCCCCTTTTGTTTGCATTTGTCTCCTTTTTGTCTCCTTTTGTCTCCATTTGTCTCCTCTTTTCTTTATATATCTCTATTTGTCTCCTTTTTGTCTCCTTTTGTTTGCATTTGTCTCCTTTTGTCTCCTTTTTTTGCTGCTGCAGAGACACCACGGATGGGTCTCCTCGTTTTCTTTTGGATGTCGGCGCGGGGGTACTGAGCCGTCTCCTTCTTTACCTTAAGGTATTTCTTTTGTCTCTTTTTTGTCTCCTTTGTCTCTTCTTTTTGTCTCCTTTATCTCTTTTTTTTGTCTCCTTTATCTCTTTTGTTTGTTTCCTTTTCCTCTCCTTTTTGTCTCCTTTCTCTCTCTTGTTTGTCTGCTTTTTCTCTTTTGTTTGTCTCCTCTCTCTCTTCTTTTTGTCTCCTTTTCCTCCTCTTTTTGTCTCCTTTCCCTCTTTTTGTTGTCCCTTTTGTCTCTTTCTTTTGTCTCTTCTGTCTCTTCTTTTTGTCTGCTTCTTTACCTTCATGTCTCTCCTTTGTGTCTCTTTTGTCTCCTTTGTGTCTCTTTTGTCTCTCACTTGCATATTCTCTGTTTGCGTTTTGTCTATACATTCGTTTTTCCTGTCTCCGTTGCTTCTGTCTTCTTCTGTTATGTTCATTTGTCTCCTGCTGCTGCTGTTGCTGCTGCACTTGCTGCTGCACTTGCTGCTGCTGTTGCTGCTGCTGTTGCTATTCGTTTTTCTGTGTTTATTATGTGCCTCCGGGTGCTGCTGCTGCTGGAATGATTTTAACTCAGCTGCATTTGCTGCTGCTGCTGTTGCTGCTGCTGCTGTTG